TTCAACACCATACATGTGTTCTGGAAATGGAAGTTGTTACTCACAACCCCAGATCTTCAACTTTATATTGAAACCCTCTTCTGCTTCTTCCAAAGTCACTGCTGCTTCGTCTCCCTTTAGAGAACTCGCTTGATCGTCTTCCATTTTCACCTTCCCTTTCTTCTTCTTCTTCTTCTTGCTGTAGGTGTATAGATTGTTTTTGTCAGCTCCATCATTGAAATGCTGTCCACATCGTATTTGGTGCCAACGGCAGCTATGGCTCATCCAATATTTCCAGATCATTGCTTCATCAGGTAATTCTCCGATATTTGAACTTGTTTTTGCCTCTCTCTTCGATTTTTTTATGCTTAGGAATTGATTTTGGTAACTGGGTTTAATGTAATTTGACTGTTGGGTACTTGGTTTTTATGATCAAAAAGGTTTGGGGATTAGGATATTTTTCCTAGTAGTAATTTAATGAATTAGAGATGGAAAGAAGGATGGAATATCCGTTTATTCTTTACGATCATCAGGTATGATCATCACCATCGTAATGATCACAAGGACTTGATGAGGTGGAGGATTAGGACCAGTGCTGCCACTCGTGCTTACCCTCTTTTTTCCAATCAGATTCAGCTAACTAAAGACTCTTCTTCCCGTCACAAATTGTACCAGGAGGTTGATCTATAAACAATATGTACAAATACGTTTGTTCTTCCATTCTGGATATCCACATATCCAATCATTGGTTTTGTTATTTAGATCATCTTCCATTTTCATTTTCTGATTTTCTGTTGGGACTCTAATGAAAACCCACAGGCTCTTAAGACTGCAAGGGACAAGTTCACTCGGGAGATCTCCTTCCAGTCCAAGGATAAAGACATCTCTCTTGCTAAGGTACTAATGACAACCTGCAAGGGGTGAGGTGCTTTAGTAATTTAAGTTGGAGATTTGATTTTGTTTGATATCTTTTGGTGTAGGCTTTACTTTACATTGCGGCTGAAGACGAGGCATTCATGTCTTTTAACCGGGAGATGGACACCCGCTCTCTCCTGAATGAAAGGAGAAATGTTTCTTCCTCGTTAGAGACCGAAGGCTGGGTTTCTTTGGAGGAAATGCCTTTGGGTGGAAAGACCATACCTGAATGGCTAAGTGAGTTGGATGCGATTGCTAAAGAAGTTGAAGCGGAGCTAGTTTCAAGGGACATAGGCTGCCATCTGGTTGAAGTTTTGGAGGCAGTCAATTTAGTTCTTTTCGAGTTAAGAGGCTTGACAAGATCCCCCGTTCTTGTAGATTCTAAGCATTCATACTTACACTCAGTACTTGATTCCAGATGTGGCAGTGGTAAAGCCTCATTCTACTTCCTTTTTTGTAGTAAGGCTCACTTGCTGCAAAGCATTTTCCGTCGGAATTTTCCCGAAAAACATATTCTTCCTTACCATTTTGGGATGTCCACTAATATGATTTTGTTAATTACAGCAATTTTGCTTAGCATAATTTACATTGAAATTTGTTGGCGACTTGGTCTAACCATTGTGGGATCTCGAGTTGGGGAAGATTTTTTGATATGGCCCCAGACAGGGTACCCAGAGGTACTTGAATCTTAATAAATCATTTCTGCAGCTTAGTTTAACGGTACATGTTCTGTTGTGTTCATACTTGTAGCAATATGTTTGATGTCTTAAACAATCCATTGTAACGTTCTCTGCTTAGAAAAATTGCGAGCTGGTCTTTTCTTTTGGTTGCTTACTCGCCTAAGGTCACTTTAAATGCACTTAACTTCTACTCTTCTCTCTGTAGGAACTCTTCAAAGTGACTTCAGGGCACAGCTTGTTTGCTATTGTCAATGGAAAGTGTGTGGAGGACCCTAGATCAATGGCATCGGATTTAACTGGTACTTCACTTTTAGGGCTCGAGATAGCTACCAACCGTGATATTATCGGGATTGCATTAGCCAATTTAATTGTAAGTCCTAATCCTCATCATCAAGTTGTATAACTAGATCTACCTTTAATTTATTCTAAACCATTAATGCCTCAAAGAGCGTACCAAAATTTCTTTCCTACGTATGAAATAAACTAACAAAAAGAAGATGCAGAGGCTTCACTGGAAACATGCTTCAAGATCAAATCACGGATTGATGCTGACTTCTCCCCTTAGGCATGTTCACGATGCCGGTGAGAAACCTAACATGATCGATGAATCCAATATCCCTTTGTTGCGCCCCAAATATCTTAGGTAAATCATAATTTTTTTTATGATTTGTAGCATCACTTTCTTCCCAAAATTTGCCTTTCTGCAAGATTTGTTCTTTTTAACTGCCACTCAACAGTTTCCTTATGCATTTCAAACCAAATGAACGACTAATATAGTAAAGGCCATGCTCTGCAACGTCGATTTACTTTTCGCATTTTGCTCTCATTCTTTTCATTATAACTGTAACCTCTGTTTCTCTATTTTGCGGATGCTTGGTATTGGGATTAGGCCTTCAAGAACTATTAATCTTCTTGCATCATGTGGAGTAGATACTTCTTTATGATTTTGTGAAATCAGAACATGATGTATCTTAAACATATTTCCCTTTATATACATTTTCACACTGAATTTGAATGCGATATTTCTTCATAAATGGTAAGCTAAAAAAGATGGGTGTATTTGCAGGCTAGCAATCATGGCTTCCGAAAGATTGTTGATTCTGCAGCCACATAACTGGGCACTGAGGAGAGACCATGGCATGATGCTGTACTATAATAGGTACGAATTAAAAAAATTCTTGGCTTTTAGAAAAGGTCTGGGTGATGGATGGAACTGAATTCGATAACTAAAAAAACTGTCAGGGAATACGGCAAGGCGGTGCAAGAGCTTAGCATTTGCATGGCCTTTGCTCCGGAAGAAGAGGCGGAGATTCTTGAACCATTCGTCGAGAAGTTGCATTTAATGCGACTGGAATCATCGTGGAAGTCTTTGGGACACGCAGGTCGACTGACGGTTCCTTGAGTTTTGTACATAACCAACCTTTCCCTCCCTCTGAAATACTCCTTTATAAGAGTTTAATGGATGAATTCTGCGATTGTGATTAGGCAAGCACGGGGTTTTTGATCACATGAACAGACGAACTCCGAAATATATAGAACTAATCGGAGATGTAAGCAAATCCTAAGTTGAACTTGTCTTGAACACACTCCAAACAAGAGGAACCGGCTGTCTTCCCCGTTATTTTCTGGTGGCTCATTTGTTAATGAGAAACCAATTATAGTCGGAAAGGCCACATTTTATGGTGCTCGTGTATGGATGACATATAAGTTAGATAATTTTTTTTTTGTGTGTTTTCTATTGATAATTCGTTTACATCGTTTGCTCAAACTAATTTGAAGATAATAAATATTAGTATACTGGCAAGATCTCTAATGAGCTGCGCAGAGGATAAAAAGCAAACCTAAATCCGAATCCAATGGAGATACCAGCATTATTCTTCGAACCAGAAACTCATGCAAACCAATAAAACAATGGGGTAAACTACTTGGTCACTAAAATATAAAGGTGGTCCTGTTTCTACCATTGGATTATAATTTTTTAATTAAATCATTTAATTATTTAAATAATAATTAATTACATATAGCCACTTTCTTCATCCTCGTCTCTTTTTCCTTTTTTCTTCTTTACAATTTGTGTCAATTTTATTGATAAATCAATTTTTTTTCTTTAATTTTTTTTAACTGGTGGTAGTACTGGTTTTAGTTCAAGTTGTCGCCTGTCAGTTATCTTTTTTCTTTTTTTTTTTGGTTTGTAATAAGAATAATTATGTCTTTGTGACATGTTCTTTGTTTTTATGACACATTTATTTTTGTCTTTGTGACATGTTTTTCTCTGCTTTTTGGTAGCTTACGGTTTTTTTCCATTGTTTTTGTTTATCTTTTTTCTCATGGTTGGATTTGACATAGTCATGACTAATTAAGATATCACTTATTTGTTATCATGATGATCTTCCCTACTTTGGACCCTCATATTGATTTGGATAAGCGTTTTGCGTTCGTGGATAATTTCTCACGTCACTTGACTTTGATTTGCGATTTGTTGGTGGTCTTTCAGTAGTTTCATCCTCTTTTGTGATTTGTTTATTGATGCAGTCAGATTTGTTCGCATCTTTATTTTATTCTAGATTTTTGGTTAGGTTTTCTATCATTTTCCTTCTTTGGTCCTTATATGATCTAGGTGGTTAGTTTTTGTCTCAATGGTAATAAGAAAATGTCATAATTATATTTTAGGTTTATGGTTATGATTGTAAATCTTCATTGTAATTTTGAATATTTTCTAATTTTAATAAAATTATAGATTTTCTATATAAAAAAAAACTAATAATAACTAAGTCATTAACAATTGATAATTATCGAAATATTCACCTGACAGTTAAATAAATTTGTATAATTTTATATTTAATTTTTATTATTTATATATTTTATTAATTTTATTTTAATCATTTAATTATAAAAAATTAAATATATAATTATATAAATTAATTTAATTGATATGTCAACATTTTCGTAAATGATACTGTTTAATGATTTGATTCATACTATTTACATAATTAAATGACATGATACAATTAATAATTTCATGATATAAATAGAACTTACCTTATAGTTTAATGACTATATAGGTAGTTTATACCCTATGGTTGTTCAATTTGTTCATTACCACATACCAGCAATTCTCGAATAATTCGTCAACTGTCCAGCGAGTTCCAATCCAAGGCTCCGGTGCGTTTAGATTCTTCTTCTAAAGAGTTGCTCGCTGAAAAAAGTCCCAAGCTACTTTGATGGAAATTGAAAGCTAATTGAGCTCTGTGCCTCGAAAGGTTTTATGGAAATGCAAGTGTCAGAAGAGTCATGTTGGATTATAATGGGCTTAATTCCAGATTGGGCTTGAAAGCAACCCAGATTCCCGGATTTATTGGCGTACTCTTCATATTTGCCGTTCCCGCCAATCATTCTGCCCCCTTTTTCACTCTTTCAGCACCGAGAGCACTCCTTTCCCCAAATCTGTTCTAATTTCTGAATAAATATTCCGTGAGCAAATTCGCTGTTCGTACTAGCTCTTTGGCTTTGCTTTTGCATCGTCCCTTTGTTTCACTAATGGGGTCTTGGTGGGAAGGCATTGATGAATCCCGTCTTTTAATCGCTCCTGGTACCTCCTCGATTTTGTTAATTTATTTCCTTTTGTCATCTGTCTTAATGTCTCTTCTCAATCGTCGCAGACCCTGGTGTTAACGAGGACGGTTCCGCTTGTTTTCTATCACTTCGTCATCCCAAATCTGGTAATCTTCACTGATGTATTCCGGAATATGGTACCCTGATTTTTTTTTACTTCTCGCTCAATTTTGTTTTATTTGACAGGACTCAGGACACCCTATCTTTTATGTAACGGATTGCTTCAGGAACTTCACTGGTTCAAGCAACCTTCTGGGTCTTGGTTTTGGGGAGATTATGTTTCTGAAGGTAACCCTTCTATTCGTATAACATACATCGTCTTCCATGGGGTAAGTTATTATTATTTTCTTCCAAGCTCATACGTGTATACATTTAGGTACAGAATATGGTGGTTGGGGTCTATGAAAGATAAAGAAACGTAGTTTTCTGTTTCAATTACAAGCACAAGATATCGAAGAATCACAATTGGAGTTGCCAACAACTTGTGCTATATCATTTGGCACTTGTCTCGAGTTTTCCGTCTACAGTCCCTATCCTCTATCCATTATCACACCACACACACAAAAGAGCGAAAGAAGCTCACTAAATTGTTCTGTAGTTCATTTTCTTAGGTTTTTTGGCTTTTGGTTTGATTAAGTTGTGGTAGGATTAGAAATGAAATTATCTTTGATAATGGCAATTTGGACAGACTTTCACTGTTTTTCACTGTTCGGTTAAGGCTAGCAAGATGGTTTCTAGCAAAATATCCTCTTTCCTCTATTAAGGTGGATTCTCTAATTGGTGATCCTTCCTTGGCAGATAGTATCTCTGCTTCTAAGGAACTACTCAGACCTGTGTGCTGGTGGATTCCTCCTCCAGTAGATTTTTTTAAGTTGAATGTGGATGGGGCTTTTAGTAGAGTTGGGAGAGTTGCTGGAATAGGGGGTCTTCTTAGGGATTGGAATCGGGTTATACTTATCTCTTTTTCAGAAAATGTTGGTCCTTCTCATCCCTATTTAGCAGAACTGAAAGCTATGAAAAGAGGCATTGCTATCTTTGTTTCTTCAGAATGGTTGTTGAAGGGCAGACTCGTTATTGAAAGTGATTGCAAGCTTGTAGTGGATTGGATCAAAGACCAAGCTTTGGTTCCTGTTTTCCTTTCAAATTTTGTTAAGGAAATTATATCTATTGTTTCTTTTAGAAATTTTATTGTTAGGTGGATTCCAAGGTCTTGTAATTGCGAGGCTGACAAGTTAGCAAAAGAGGGGATCGGGTGATGATTTTGTCTGTTTCAGTTGGTGTTTGTTTCTGAGCTAAGAAGCTAGAGGAGTGTGTGAGGTCTTATATTGTATGTAAAAGTGTTTTTAAGTTTTATGTAACTTGGCTATCATTAATAAATTGAGGTACTCTTTTCCTCCTTCCGCTAGTTGGGTCTTACCTTAGGGGTAAGGTCCACTAGGGAGGTTTTTAATGAGACCTCCTATTCCTATAAAAAAAAAGTTGTGGTAGGATTAGGAAGCTATTTTAAGGTGTACATACAATGTTTTAGAATGATTATATATCTAAATTAGCCAATTGTGTGTTAACTATCATGAGTCAAACTGAATATACATGTATCTAGACAACCAAATTGATGGACCCTAGCAGGATAATTGTTTTACAACTAAATTGCTTTTATATCGAGCACAACTGAATGGATGGTTTCACATGCTCCTTATAATCCCCAATAGTAGGCAGAACCTCTGATTACCTTGTTTTTTATATCATCCTTATTTCCTTTTTCTATTACTTTGTATGCAGATGGGAGCCTATATATTGCTACTCCAATTGATCCCATTTTCATCATGTTGCCTATATTTGAAGATGCAAGGATGAAGGTATAATCATTACTACTTTCCCTTAACTGGAGATGCTTGTGTAGTTACTTTGATGGAACCAATTGCTTAGAGTTTAGAACCTCAATGCATCTTCAGCAATGCAGTCTTCCTTTTAGCCTGGCTTAGTGTCTCAAGAGAGACTAAAAGACACTTGAAAAACTGCACCATTGAGGAAGTTTTATGAACCCCACCTGAAATTTAGTTTGTGGCCTTAGCTTTGTGAGCTCTTAATTTTAAGAATGGGGGATGTTTAATCTATGCTAAAAGAAATAAAAATTCATCAACAATAACTTGTGACTTGTTAGGATTGCATGATTCTTTAGTCACTTTGCAGTATCATTCACACTATCTTTTCAATTATATATCTTCCTTCTTTGCTACTTTGAAACTCTTATTTTCTCTCTCTCTCTGTTATAGTTCTCAATCCCCTGCTTTGTTTGATGCAATCCAACTCTCTGTATTCAGTGATCTTAGACTTAGTGCTTCATTGGAGTCTCTTACCTAGTTCTAACTTTCATGATTTTGCCTCATTGTTGATTTCATTTTTGGGCCATCTTGTTTTTCGAATCTTTGAAGTTTATATGTGGACTTTTAGCCCATAATAATTCAATTTTTTTTGTAAATGAAGAAATGGGATGATCCTGGAAAGTTTAGGCAATTAGGTGAGATCCTCTTCATTAATGATTGTTCTGGATATCAGCGTTTATTCTCCATGGCAGAGGATTGTATGGAAGTTGTTTGTGAAAGCAAAGGTTTGGTGCAATCTGTATATTCTTGTGAATAATCTCTTCAAAGAATAATTCTAAGATGTTATCATTTAAGGCAATCTGTGCATATCAACTTTGTTTATTCTGTTACTGGGAAAGAAATCTGTTTTTTCTATTAAAATATCTGATCATGAATTCTGATTGTGGCATGCAGTAAAGGGATTCTGTTCCCCTACCTATTTTTTTTTTTTCTGGTGGCAGAGCTTTAGTTCTACCTTTCACGAAGCATGGATGCTAATGAGTGTGTTGCCGCAAATAAACATATATTAATTATCCTCACTGCTCTATATATGTGCAGAAATTGGATCAACAAAATTTTTTAGGCTTGATGACACTAAGGTTTTAGCTTGGTTACTGTACAAGGTTGGCCTTCTTCTGTTGTAACAACTTTTTGCTTCTGTTCGAATGTGTGAAACATTTAAAATCAACTCTGCTAGTTCTGTTGTTATATTACTGTGGACGTGTAGAGAGCCCAAGTGTGAAGATCTTGCATTACCTATTTCTAGAGTCTTCATTGGGAAAGAAGATAAATATCCTTTGTAGGTCAATTGAACATGCTATTTGCATCAAACATCCTCTTGGGAAACAATCTGCTTATATCTTTAATGGCTTTCATGATTATTTTACATATTTATTCTTAAACCCATTGCAAATATTATCTGTTAGTTTGTGCTAATTGCTTCCTTTATTATACAATTGCCAAGTCAAATGAAAAATATACATGTAAGTCAAAACTGCTTAGTGTTCTGTAGTTTTTATTGAATTACAGGTATCCAAGTTAAAACAGACTCTATCGGCATTGGACCAAAACTATGCTGCACGTGAAGAGAAGGATACATGTATGTTTCTCTGAAAAATAGGTTATGATATTCAACTATGTACATTTTTTAATGCTTCGAATCACCTTATGTGTGTGCACAGACACACAAAAGTGAGAGATGTATGCAAGCGATAAAATTTTTAAATATGAAGTCCTTTAAGAGTCTTCTGCTGCAATATTGCGGGATGGAGAAGTGTAAGCTTAAAACTTTAGAGGGTTCAAGCAATGTAATACGTAAAGACTGCTTCCAATTAATTCCTCTTTAAATTTTACTTTCTTAGGACCATTAGCATATAATGCCTACAATAAGCTTGGTGGTAAGCTATCAGCCCAAGGGATTGTGTCTATGGAGTAGTAATTATTGTTTGTTTGGCCCAAGAGCATGTGCCTGATGAGGCAATGAGCTCATTTGAGAAGCCATTGGCATTGAGTAAAACAGTTTATCCATATCTTATAGAACTTGTGGACTACTGGATTTGGAATGAAGTTAATGTTGATTTAATAACGTATGTGACAATTTGGTTCATCACTTTTACCAATGCAGTGGTTGATGCAGTATCAATATTAGGGGAGTACTTGAAAGATGATCCTTGGCTGAAGCTTTTGTGTAATCATTTTAAGTATCTTCTCAAACCTTTTGAACTTTTCAATTCTAAGTGAATATTTTGTTCGATTCCATTTATTCTGTTTTAACAAATTAGGAGATCAATTGAATCTATGCATAGAGCCATAGAGTGGTTTACCTATTGATGCATTCGAGTTACATGTTGGTGAGTTGTTTGCAGATTGGATTCTCTGGAGGCAAAAACAAAAGCATCAGATTTTGAGATTTGTCCAACAGACATAGGACACTCCGTTGGTTCTTCCAACTTCTCACAGGTATCACTGGTCTTAGATAAGGTCCCCGGTTGCTATTATTTTCTTGTTTATTGGGGTTGTTGCTGGTATTGCCTTTCAAATTTCAACCTCCTTGTTAGAGGTAGGGGGATGTGACGACCACTAGGCTTGTCGCTTATACTATACCTCCTTTTGTCAGAATAAACCTTTTACATTTGCAAGCACTGCAGATTGGTGCATGTATTTTTTTTATATGTATGTAATTTTAATTTCTCAGGGTAAGAACACAAGTGAGAAAAAGGCTGAAAGAAATGTAAAGCAAGCTAAGAAGGCTATGGTAGAGACTGAGTCCAGGAACATCAAAGAAATGTTCACCAGGGCTTCACGAAGGAGGAATTGAGGTTTTGTGGAATGGATAGAGGATCAAGGAACATCCATTGATCTCGTTGTTAGTTGATATGTTTGTGTGCAATCTCTAATTATCTCTTCCAGGGCTGAGCTTTTCTTTTTGCCTACATTACCTATCTTGGCAATGACTATTTAAGGTACTTTGCATTTTATCATGGGTCAAATTGAGATATTAACACTTTGTAAATTGAAATCCTAAAGTTGGATTTAAAACTTTCTCCACTAAATGGTTCGTGGGTTAAAAAGGCTGTAAAGCCAAGGGTTTAGTGGAAGAAATTGGGGGTGGGTTTGTTTGTAGCTAGGATTGATTGTTTTAGTAGGAGATTTGAACCTGCTTGTTTAATTAATCATGACAGTCGCTTATTAACTTAATGTTGGAGATATTTTGATTCTATAGATTAGTATTGTTAATTCAATGTTTTATACATCATGTAACTTCATCTGCTAAGGTATGCACTTACACAGTGACCTAAACACTTGTACCGTGTTCTACAGCTTGTTTAGGTCACTTTCCCTCACAAATAGTCCATGGAAGCCGTATGGCACCCTACGGGGAAGCTTCACGGCTGCCACTATGTCAAGAGTGGGTGATTTTGCGTCCACCGATAACCTCGGCTCCCTGGTGTTCTCACTGTGGACAAGAAACCAAAGATTCATCGTCCTCGTTTACCTCAGGGTTCTCTCTGGTTCCTTAGCGATAAAGAATGGCTCCCCACAGAAGCAACCTGGCCCATGTATTCTGTTAGCCACTGTATGCTCCTGCCGCTCTCCGTTGGACACATCCAATTTCACCACTCTTGCTATTTTTAGCATTGGGTCTCCCATGGAAGCGTACAGATATTTGTTCTTCCTGACATAAGCTGGGCATAATACTGCAAAATCCAGGTTTCTTGCTGAAACGGGATGCCTTGTTACTATCCCTGTTCTTGAGTCAATTCTCTCATTCTCCACTAAAGCATGAACAAGCTGCTCCACTCTCTACAGGGTATGTTGTACTGATGGAATGTGAGGTGCCAGCATGACAATGGCCTTGCCATCATCTTCATCCTATGCATTTATGCTCTGTTTTGAAAATCGGACCGGACCGGCCGGTTCAACCGGTTTATTCGGGAATTGTTGTTTAGTCCGGTTCAATTTAAATCGATTGAACCGCTATTAGTGAATTGACCAGAACCGCTGAACCGTTCGAACTGGACCGGCTGAAAATCGGGAAAAATTGGGATTTTTGTTTTGTTTTTTTTAAAAAGTTAAACCAAATAACGTCATTTGTTAAACGAGTCAAGTCGAACTCGAGTATTGTTGAGTTTGACTCGAACTTGAAAACTTTAAAAGTAAGCTCAACTCAACTCAAACTCATAAGCTAAAAATTATTAAGTTCAACTCAAACTCGAAATATAATATTGAAACTTGAACTCAAAAAAAAATTAGAAGCTCGATTGAAGCTTAAAATTCGAGCTTGATTGAAGTGAAAGAATAATTATATAATTATAGTTATATAATTTTGTTATGATTTTTTTAATCCCAAATTTATTTTTTAAATATAGTTATATAATTATATTTATTATTTAATATGTTTTACTTTAAATATTATGTTGTAGTTAATTTGAATCATTTTGTTTCACTTGATTTTATGATTTTTAACTTATATATGTTATGACTTGTTTTGAATATGACTTGTGATATAAAAAAAATTATTAATTATTTTTGGTGTTTTTATTTAATTTTTTAAATAATTATGACGTCGTCCGGTTTTTCCGACCGATCAGACTGATTCGACCGGTTGAACCAGTAAACCGGTAGCATGACCGGTTCGCTAACCGATCTGGTTCTAAAAACCATGCATTTATGGCGTGCATTAGGTTGAAGCCCGGCACAAATAGGTGTTAAATAAGTAAATTAGATTGCAATATTAGTTATATATTTTCTTTTTCTTTTCGTTTAGACGATTCTTATAAATATTAAATATATTGAATATAGCAAACAAATACTAATTTTATTTATATTTTATTTTCAGATTTTATAAACAAACCCAATACAACAATACAAGCCTCGTCACATTGGGAGCCCACCAATAAAAGCAACAGCCCACAACAGACCCAAGTACAAATTTGAAATCCACTTCAGAGAGTGCTCGTTTAACCCAAAATGCTTTAAGGTTGTTGGAATCCTAAGAAACTTATTCTGTCGCTGTCGTTAGATCTGGCTCGAGATCTAACGGTTTAGATCGCTCCAGCTAACCCTAATATTCGAACAGCTCTCCTTGTCGCCAGAATTTCAAGATGCGTCTCTAGAACCTACGCCAGCATCCACGTCGACCGACCACGTTGGTTCTGATCCCCAATCGGACCACCTCAACGGTCCCCCACCAGCAACAACCTTCCCCATCATCATAAGCAAGGATCAGTGGTCCCCTCGCTTCCTGAGCAGAAACGACAAGCCACGCACTGGTGCCCATTTTGGCAGCACCCTTACGGAGATATATAGCATGCAAATCACAAGCCAAGAAAAGAGGGGGAGGGGAAAGCACGATTCGAAGAAAAAAAAATCAGCCTTAAAAAAAAAAGAAAAAACAAATAGAAACGAAATGAAAAAAAGAGAGAATGACTCGAACCAAACGAAAACAAATAAAAAAAAGAAAAAGAATAGAACCAAACAAAAAAGAAAAGAAAAACGAAAAGAAGAGAGAAAACAAGAGTTGATTTTTACCTTATTTTTTAGTGTTTTGAGATCAAAATGAGGGACCTTTTCTCCTCTTCTCACCTTTATCGTCGTAGAAGGTAGTTTGAGCGAACGAGACCACTGATCGGTGGCCAAGCAAGTGACGGTCGATCCTCTCTCTTTTGAAAACCCTTACACATTAAGGTGCGTTTGGTTCACGGAATGGAAGATTATCAGTAGGAATGTAAGATTGTCAGGGAATAGGATTACTGAGAATGTTGTATTTTGTGTTTGGTTGGTTTAGCAAGAATGTAAGATTATCGTGTTTGGTTAAAATAATAAAAGATTATTGGAATGTTTTTTTGACAAATTGTCCTTATTATATATTTGTTTTTAACAAGTTGGAAAATATTTATATATTTTCTTTAAAAAATTTAAATTCATAAAATTTATATAATTTTTTTTACAAAATTAAAAATATAAAAAAGTTTAATGAAAGGATAAAATTTTATTTTAACTCATGAACTTCATATAAAATTTAAATTATAGACTTTTTTTAAAATCTAAAATAGTTTAAGGATAAATTTGTAATTTAACATTCATAAAATTTTTATTATTCAATGACAGAAAAATGATATTTAAAAAATATTAATGGCATTTTAGTCCAAAACGTCGGGAATCCATCAATACCTAAGAAAATGGAGGTAATGACATTCCCGGTAATATATCCCAAAAAATCCACTATTGATAATCTTACATTATCGGGAATGAGATTCCTGGGCTAACCAAACGGGGAATGTGGATTTCATTCCCATGGGAATCCCACATTTTCCCATCCAAACACCCTCTTAGGGATTAGAGAGAAGAGCATCACTTTCCTTTATGATGCGTTTGGTTCGTGAAATCTTACATTATCAATGAATATTTTTTTTTCGAAATTACATTCTCACGTTTGGTTCATAAAATTTTAAATTACCGAAAATACTCTTTTCTCAGTAGTAATATTTTTTGGGTCAAAATAGTATGAATATCATTATCTCCAAATTCTTATATAATCTTACATTCCCACCACTTTATAAAAGAGTACCTTTGAACTAATGAATTCTTTTTATAATGATCATTCTAATTTTTATTTTTTATACTTTAATCAAAATTATAAAAATAATAATAATAATATATACAAAAAAGCTTGATTTACTAAAATATTAATAATTTTGAGAATTTAAAATATTTTATATTTTTAATATTCAATATTTTACTATTTATAATTTTATGGGATGAAAAAATAGTATTATTGTAAAAATGTAATTATTTAAAATAATATTTTACTACCATAATATTATTTTTTTATATTATATTATATTTTATATAAATAAATATGATACTTATGAACATTATTTAAAAATATCAATTTAATATACTAATTATATTAATTATATATTAAATGTAGTTTCTCCTCAAAAGTTAAATAGTATAACAATTAAAATATTTTTATGAATTTCCATTCAAATATTTATAAATTAATATTAAAGTTTAACTTTAAAAAAACATCACAAGGATAATTTGGTAAAATATGATCTAACTAATCTTATATTCTTCCAACCAAACATTGTAATCTTACATTCCTACTAAATAAACCAAATAAGGTAATATAATATTCTCATTATAATGTTACATTCCAATAATATTATTCCCAAAGATAATCTTACATTCCGTGAACCAAACGTCCCCTCTGAACGACGACAAAACAAGGGTGAGGGGTTTCTTAACCTTATATTTTCCCTTTTATATGCGTCATGAAATGGCGTCGCTTTTAGGGTTAGGGTTTTTGCATTTAGCGTTTGGATTAATAGCATGAGAAAGGTTCTCTGGTTTGTAATATTTCCGTTCTGATCATCAAGAAATTTATTTTGTTTTTATTTTGAGTCTTACATTTGTTTCGTGTTTCATTTCAGTCCTAGTTGCCATTTGATGCATCTTTGTTGAATGCTTTGATTTCAAATGTTAATTTACAAATTGTTCATTTTGATTACTGTTTAGGTTTAGTTTGGTTTATTTTCATGTTTAGTCCCTGTTACTTCTGTTATGTTTTGATTTAATCCTTGGTTATTGATTTGTATACCTAGTCCCTATATTTTTGTATTTGTTTTATTTTAGTCCCTCTCTTACATGCGTACATATTATACTTTAGTTTATTATATATATATATATATATATATAATCATAAATATTAAATATGTATAATATAGTACTACATGTATTTGTATTATTAAAGTTGTAAAATATCCCTTATTCGATATTAATGATTGCTAAGATTTTTATTTTCACTCGTATACTTTTGAGGACATCTATTGGACGAAAA